CACTGAAACGAACGTTATATGGTCGAGTATTGGGTTAGTTATTGACTGGAAGCCTCAAGGCCTACACCTAAGGCCCCACAAAGGCACCTGTCATAACTAACACGATCTCTCGGGTATATATACAACTAAAACTCAACATCCGTTTTACATCTGCCATGCTGAAGATGGCAGTGGCACGCCTGAGCACTTAAAAGTTAATCTTGATTGTGAGCCTCAAGGCCTACACCTAAGGCCCCACGAAGGCACATTTCAAAGTTAACTCTGTCCTTCTCTTTCAGCTTTGCCCGACAAGCCTTGCCCGATAAGCCCGCCAGTAAAGCAGAAGCCCGACATAAAGCATCAACCAGCGACAACCTCTCGGGGAGCTGTGTGCTCGTCGGCTAGGAAACTTCCCCAGCGGAAATTCTAACCACGAACAGTTGCCTAATGAGGTTCAGTAGCTCGCTGAAGTGGCGAGGCTAGATGGTGCTAGTTCCCAAGGTCAATGTCTCAGTGTTCACAAAGAAGAGAAAGATGGCAAGCGTTGAAAGAGTAAGGGAAGGTTAGAGAGGAAGAGAAGAAATGAGGTGACCGAAAAAGGAGAGGGAGAGATAGTGAATTAAGTTAGAGAGAGAGTCTATCCGAGAGAGTTGGAAGACACGGGGGAGGGGAGAAGAGTGTGGTGTGGGTCCCACTGGCTCCCAAAACAAAGCCACAAAAGAAAATATCTCCCACGCAATGTAAAATTACCAAATCGGCCTTCACGTTCGTCGTTTAGTAAAATTTTCGTCATAACTCCTATTTCGATTCTGCTTGCACCTATGCGTTCATACCGTTGAGTACTTCAAGACACATCACTAAATGATGGTTAACGAAAGTCAACAATCTCACTTCTAGGGGCATTTTCGTCAATCCACTCCTTTAAAATTAATAAAATCGTAAAATTAGGGACTGGTTGTTACATTGGCTCCACCATTTGCACGTTGACAATATACCTAGCGCGAGAAAATATTTGTCACGTAAGGCAGCTTTGTGTGATGAAAAACTAAATTTTGTTACTAAAAAACCTTTACAAAAAACACAAAAAATTTGAAACAAAATTGAGCCACAACATTATATCTTTGCGTGACGAATTATTATTTGCAAAACCCTTAAAATTCGCAGTAAACTAGGTTTTGGTGCCACCGTTGCGTGATGAAAATTTTAAAATGGAAGAGAACTGAAAAACTTGAAAAAAAAATGCCCTTGTTGCTCAAAGCTCGAGCAACAGCGGGCGAGTGGTACACATTCCTCGGAACTGGAGGTTTAGGGTGAGATGCATGCCAATTATGGCAACCAAGTCGGGGACGACATTTATGTAATTATTCCGTTCTACGTTTTAAATTTAAATTTCATCACATTAAAAAAAGATTTTTAAATTATGATCAATAATCTTAAATGGTTTCTATTATTTTCGTTTAGACTTCTAAATGCAGAAAAAGGACGAGTACCTCGCCAACCTTTCCCAGCAGCAACCAAACGTGCTTATGGAGGAGATGACACCTGATCTAAAGGTGTCTCTACAGTTGCTGATGGACGAGGTTAGGTGACGGAAAGGCAAGAAACTTCATGGAGGTGTCTTCTTCTTTAGCGAGCTCACATCTTTCAATCGAGATGTCTTCCAAACTTCAGTAGGTGGAGATGGAGCTAGCACAGCAAAGAGAAGAAGTTAAGCACCAAAGAGAAGAAGTGCAATACCTGAGAGAAGAAGTTGCTCATGAGCGAGAAGCTACTACATGCGACCGAGAAGCAGTACGCGTGTACATTCATGGGACAACCGAAGCAATGTCAACTTCAAGCATTTGAATTCCCGAGCCCCCGAGTGACCTTCAAGCGCCGTTCCCTTAGCCACCTCAACACCCACCCGTGTAGTTTAGGTTAATTAGTTTAGTTTATTTTACAAAAATTGTACGAACAATTTTATTTTGAACGCAATTAAATAAATTTTATCTTTTTAAATTAATATAATTAGAATTAAATAAATTATTTACTATAAATATTGCTTTAAAACCGAATTTAAAAAAATTAAAAAGGTTTGCTCGAAGACTATTCGTCGAGCAAACTTTTGTTTTATGTTTTTTAGTTTGGTTTTAAACAACTGCTCGGCAAAAATATCGTCAAGTCAAGTTTTTAATTGTATTTAATTTGGTACGGGGCGACAAAATCACGTTGTCGGGCAAGATAATTTTGTTGGAAAAAGACGGTCAACACACTTTTACTCTAACACAAAAGTCGTCAGGCAAACTTAGTTTCGCCCAACAAATTTCCATTCTCAACGAGTAAGACTTCGAGCGATAGGTTTTGCGCTACCAACCTTTTCCGACGAACTTCCGTGTCTAAGGTTTTGGGAAACGGAATCCACTTTTATCCGACAAATGTTTTCTGTCTAGCAAGGTGGTTTTTGGACAGTGCTTACACATTTTCGTGTCTTTTTGTTGTTGGTTTTTATGTTTGTTTTTGTGTAAGGCTTTTGTTTTCTTGTTTTCATAGTGTTCTACAAATATAAAGTAATCATAGTAAAATATAAAATAAAATGGTCAGGGCAATTTTCCAACCTAGATATAAAATATATGGCGGGAACTAGGAAAAGGGTAGTTGATTCTTGGGGTGGAAAAAAATTTCCAAAAATCCCGAACCAAACCAAAAAAATACCGATCTCAAACCAAAAATGTCCCAAACCAATTTTCCCAAAATTTTCGGTATGCTATACCGAATCAATACCGAAATTTCGGTATGGGAATCGGGATTGTCTTCCCAATATTTCAGTATTCCCATATCGAACCGAAAATATATATTTTTAATTATATCTATATATATATATATATATATATATATATATATATTTACACAGATAATAATATATTATTATTTTTAATTACAATTAGAGTTAATTTGAACTGTTGGATTGTTTCAAATTAATCTATGTCGTCCATTCCTTGTTAGGCACTTAGGCTTTCTCCTAGGCGAGTTTGATTTCATTTCTTTCTCACAGACTAATGCTCACTCAGTCTCTCAGCTCAGCCACCGAGAGAGCCCTCTCCTCCTCTCTATCTCGACTCTCAAAACCAACTCCGGCCAGTCACCGGCCCATCACCACATGGATCCACCGTTGTCTCTCTCCGACGGTGACGACACAGAGCCTTCCTTCACGACAGTGACGACACAGAGCCATAGCCACGATCTCTCTCTCGCGATTCTCTCACTCACAAGATTCTCTCTTGCGATTCTCTCTCTCTCGAGTCTCTCACGCGATTCTCTCTCTTAGATTCATATACAGGTAAATAAATATGGGAATTAATTTAGGGTTTGAAATTTAATTTAGGGTTTGTGAAATTTAATTTACGAATTCTAGATTAAGGTTTGTATTTAGGGTTTTTGAAATTTAATTTTTCGAATTCTAGATTAGGGTTTGTTTGGTCTCACAGGGCAGTGGCATCATGCTCCTACTCTGACAGTCCGACATGTCTTTTGTTATATACTACTTGTTCTAATTCTCAATTCACTGTGTTTCGCAAAATTTTCAATAATTGTAACCTGAGCATACCAGATAGGGACATTGTTGGTAATATAGTACTACCGTTCTCTGAGCAGCTAGAAAGAAGCAGTTAAAAGGAACTTCTCTCTTATTAGCTTCTTTGCCGTGTAAAAATACTTTATTTGCTTCTTGCTTTCTTGTATAAGCGTAGGTATTTAGATGTATTTTGATCATATTTTGGGATTTCGATTGTCCCGAAATACCAAAATTATTTCAGGATTTCCGAAAATTGGGATTCCCAAAATTTTGGTTTGGGATCGGTATTAAAATTGAGAATCCCGAAAATTTTGGTTTGGGAATCGGGAGTAAGGTTTTGGTTCAATATCCCATACCAAACCACCCTAATTCTATGACCATGTCCCATCAGCATTATCTATAATTAGCTAGGTTTCAAGACGGCTAAAAAGCCCGAGTCCAAGTCAAGATCTCATTGTTCAGAGTCCTAGAATCAAGAAATATGAATTTCACGGTTTTCAACTTATTCCACTTGCCGACCTCACATTTCTCACTGTCTAGATTTTTCGGTCCTTGGACTCCGGGTAGTGAGATTTAGAAAGGATTTCAACTCCCTTATTGTAAGGTATTGTCCTACATATTAAAGTCTCTCTGCAGTTGAAGATACGAGAAATAAACATTTCAGATAACATATGTATTATGTGCATATAAAGGCTACGGGTTTCGCCATGTGATGAAGAAAGTTAATTTTAGGGGTGTGCTATCCACACATCCTTTTTACTTCTTCCACACCCCTTGTTAATTTCTGTCATTTGATCTTCTTCAATTCATCCGATCCGAAGGCCAAAAATTTAAAAAGTATGAGAGAAGTAAAAAGGAGTGTAGATATCACATCCCTAATTTTATTGTTGATGCGTTTGTAGGTTTAACTAGGGCTCACTCTCACGAGAAGTTCGAAATCATTCTCTACCACATTTTAGTGCTTTTTGGTGTGGCACCTGCTAGATACTCTAGTAAGTAGGGGCAGGTTCAGTTTTTTGCCGAAACCAAAAACTGAACCGAAAGTATTGTTCGGTTCAGTTCAATTGGGTTTTCCTCGGTTTTTGTTTGGTTCATTTTAACTTGTGTTTGGTTTATTTTGGTTAGGTTTGGGGTTCGATGATCAGTCTTTTAATATGATGTCTACCCAAACTCTATTTCTAATTTTTCATCCCCAAATCCCACAACTACTTGACTGCATAGACAGTAATTTATTTTAGGTGTATGTAGCTCAGATAAAAATTTGGAAGAAACGTTCAGGTTGTATCATTGTCCATCATAGTTAAACCAAATAGAAGAATTAAACACAACCCATAACTAGTTTCCACTAGCTAGGCTGCCCGCACGTTGTTGCGGTGCTGCACCGTTAAATTTTTGTGAGGTAAAAACTAAGGAGAAGCAAGAAAAAAGAAAAGAAAAAAAAGAGGTGATACATTTGTTTTTCCATGTGAGGTTTTTGGGTCGATGGAATTTTTGTGTACAGAACAATGGGATCAATTAAATTTTGGTTCTTGTGTTTTAAGACCAATCCCACCTCAAAAAATAAGAGTACATTTGTATTGATACCACAATGATAAAAATGGATAAAGTTCTATACGTGGATGGTTACAGAGTTATGAGCTGACCTGGTTCATGAAGAAAAATAAGAAAAACTTAAATATTGACAAAAAAAGATGAAGTTTTTCTTATGCTGTAAATGACCATATCAGTATATATTGAATAAAGGTTTTTTAGAAATGCAAAAGGGAAAAAAGTTGAAAAATAAATTAAAGGTTGAGAGTTATCAATGTTATACCTTGAAGACGGCGAATAGATGCAGTTCTTTCAGATTGATTCCAATTTGGCTGTAGGAAACTGAAAAAAATTCAAATTGTAAACATTTTGCACCAAGGATTGAATACGGAGAGACACAAATACTGTTTCCAATGAATAAAAATGAGTGCAAATATAATCGTTTCAAATATGATAAGGGAGGAAAAATGACGGTCGACATATTGGGATATGATGATCAAATGTTAAGAACAATCGATAAAGATGATTAATACAAAATTGTAGATGCTAGTGGTTGAGATTGAAACAGAGGTAAAACATACTGATACTAAATTTGGTTTTAAAGGTTGGTAACAATCATGGAACGATGCTGGATATGATTATAGCCCATGACGAAGTTACTTTTATAATTATTTATTGGCTAACATTGCATTCATTGTATAGTTAAAGGCTCTATACGGTTTTTAGCACCAATTAAGTTTGGTTCAAATGCATAAAGAACGAAAATAAAATGTTGGGGTTAACATTAAACAAACAGTTAAAACCAAATACATCACTTGAGAATAGATTGGGCGATCAAATTTATCCAACGAAAGATTACAAACTGAGGAAAATAGGTCGCACAAAAGCGAAAGAGAAGCGAAAAAAAACGAAAAAAAAATAGAAAAAAAAAGGGGAAGGTAACAACAAAAGTAACAAAAAAAACTAACAATACAAAATACTTGATACATTGAAAACTAAATGTCTAAACGGATTATATACCTTCAATAAACACGGGTGCTTCTTGAAAGTGAAGAAGAACAATATCAGACAGTGATATCAACCATCTGATTACAGAGACAAAATCTGCAGGATCACAAAAAGAGAATTTAAACGTAGAATTTATCTGTAAATCAAAAACTCCAAAAAGAAAAAAAAATAAAAAAAATGAGGTACATTAAGAAAAGAAACCTTACCAAGCTCAAAGCCCTGATGTCTAATCTAAATTAGAGAACACTAACCCAGAAGACAAAGTACTTTACATTTCTTAGTAAATTACTTTGTGGTGGAGGCTATATATGTAAGTGATAATTTTAGTAATCTGTTGCTGAACCTCCTATCAAAACGTAATAAAGTAAAGCACACAAAAAAGGCATTGCTAAATCTTCCCAACTACCTTAACATTTTTTTCACCCACACCAGGGACATCACAAAGTAAAGGAACTGCTAGCTCAACTAATTTGTTAATGTCCTGTAAACCTTCCACTTGTTTATATGAGGATATGGCTGCAACAAAAATAAATATAGTTAAAATAAATTCAACCAATATGGCATGGGAACCATGGGAATTAATCATATGAACCGAGTCAATTTACCGAAAAACACAACACAAAATGCATCAAACCTCTAAGAAAACAGAACCAAATGAAAGACAATCATTATAAAATATACCTTATATAGCTGAATAAGAGCTGTTCCACAGCGATCTAGAACATGCCGCCCCCAAACTGGGCTGGAAATCGGCCAAAAATCCGGCCACAACCCGGAAATCCTAGACGGAGAAAATGGCAAACACTGCGAATTCTTGCCTCGATCACAACTTTGGAAACCCTGGAAACCAATTCTATTAGTTTCCACAAAAAAAAATCCCCTAGGTTTAAATGGATGAAAAAAGGCCTTGCAAGCACAAACCACAAAGAAAATCCCTTAAAGACGAAAATCAGGAACTCTTTCCACGAAACAGAGAACAGAACACCAAAGAGAATCAGAGGATTCGAAAAAACAACGGGCAAAACGAAAAGGGAAGACCGCAAATTAGGAAAGGCACTGAAGGGACAACAACCCAAGTGGCTAGGAAGACTCTCGAAGTCGAAGGAGTAAGGATGGGCGACGTGTGGAAAACAGGGGCGAAAAGGTCTCTTTAGCCCATCAAGCAGGCGAGACAAACGGAAACAAAACACAGAAGCGAGGGCATTTCCGCCCTTTTACTATTTCTGAACAGTGCCATCATCAACTGAGTTTTAGTATATATAACTAGATAGTAATGCTCACGCGTTGTTGTGGGATTACAAATAACACGAACAATTATGTAACTTCATTATTATCAAAAATTTCCTCCAATTACTACACAATTTTATTAAACAGGGAATAAGATGATTTTTTTGTCACAAAATTAGCGTTTTCAATTTATCAAAGCAAGTGGTAATTATTAAAATGAATATGTTAACATATATGATAAAATTTAATAACCTGAATATCAACAATCAGAAACATAATTGTAAATATAAAGTTAGGTCATTTAATGGTTACAAACCATGTAAATCACCTAGACATTAAGAAACAAAATGTAGATGAAAATTAAAAGGATTAAGTTCCTTGTAATGAGATACTCTTCTCTAAGATGAATGAAACTGAAGCCCTCGACAACAAATTGATAGCTGGGAAGAAAGGAAAAAACATGCATGAATAAAATTCTAATTTTCAACCACCCTTAATTTATAATTAAGCTAAGCAAATACAGAGCAAGCACAACACAATCACAACAATAAGAAATTTCAATAGCATTATATTTATCAATTAATCTGTACATGAATTTCAAAAAATTATGCAATTTTATAGGTCACTAAACCCAAATTACAAATTATGCAGTCAATCTCGCTACCCTTTTTATTTATTTCCTCCAATTGCATCAGAACATACTTTGAAGTCCATTCAATCAAGAAATTCAAACATATCATAAAGATGAATTCAATCCTTAATTAGCAACAACAACATGATATTAAGATACATCAGACCCCCAATAATCCATTAAATACACAAATTAAGTATAGACAGTCAAATCTCACATACTAACCAAATGACATTAATTAATGATCCATAATGAAGTAGCCAAAATGAAAACAATTATGAGATATTTAGGTGATACGAAAAAAAATATGGAATACTGAGATTAAAATCTTACGCACAATTAAGTGAGTGAAAAATGAGCTGATTGTAAATTCAAACCCACCAAGGAATCAAATTGAAATCAATGACAATATACAGACCCAAGATCACCCCACTCCTGCAAAAACAAACATAAGATACTTGTTAGACATCGAAAGTTAAAAAAACAATATTGAAAGCCTTTTGGAAGCACTGCAAGACCTTTTGGAACGTCAGCATCATTATAGGTATGAAATATAACCGTTAGAATAAGGGATTAATTGTGTTGTAAGCATTGAGATGTATAAAATTTATTTACATAAAATATATAGTAGTTGTTGACAACTCTATATACATATAAAGATTTGTTCAAAATAGAGCGATGCACCCTAAAAATTGTAGCACTTTGGCTACTGAGCAAATAGCCACCCAATCAAATTGTCAGTTTTTAAATGCAATGAAATTAAAATTCGCATAATCAGCAAGGATAACAGATAAATTATCATTTTCCATTTCAATTAAAAAACCATATCTATTAAAAACCTAGTACAACTTCAACTACAAATAAAATAACCCATATGCCAAACATTCAATTGTTTTAAAGAAAAAAAATCTGGAACTTAAATAGTGAAACGATATACACGAAACCATAAAACATTACCCAAAAGGAAAAAGAACTTACATAAGTCATTTCTTACATCTCGAGTAGTCATCCCTCTTGTTGGCAATCCCATCATAGCCTAATATTGAACAAAAATTTCAACTTTTCACAATCTGGGGTCTTAAATAATAAGGAAAACTAATGAAAAGGGCTTAAAAATTTTGAGTTTTAATGATAAGGACAAAATAAAGGGTAAAGTGAATAGTACCAAGATTGACTTTTTAATGTAAAAATGTGGTTTTTCGTTAAAGTGAACAGTACCGGGTGCTTTTCGTTAAAGTTCCCTAAATAATAAGACCAAAATTTTCTAGGCAACCAAACAATGGAAATAGCTAAAGTAGAGAAACCCAGAAAGAGTAAAAGGCAAAGAGAGAAGAATGTACCATTTCGAGGAGTTGAACTCGAAAACACTTGCTGGAAAAAACTCACCAATACGCATTTAGATATCTTTTATTAATTTCACAGTTAAAGCGTCATAGATGCGATATTCCTCTAGCCATCAGAACCTAGAACACATAACTATTAAATGTTATAAAAACTTACCACGAAATTGTCAAAAGAGAATATACGACCGTAAGCTTCATTCAGTTTCATGGCATATCATATCATTTTATGAAAACCTCCTTGCAGTCTGTCGTTCAAAAAATCCAACTCAGAGTAAAAATCAACAATATTAACTCATAACAGCATAAAGTATAACCATTAAATTAAATTCAATATAACACAGAAACAATTTCACTACTATACATAGAACTCCATAAATTCCTTACCACATAAACCTTGAGATGTCCAATAGGTCTAGAAGCCTTAAAAACCTTCTCCATATTCAGCTTCAGTCGCCTGAAAACACCGAAAAACAGAGGGGAAAAAAAACGTAAACTCATCAAAATTCCCTACCCAAAAATAAGCTAAAAATGGAAAATATTCAAACCCCAAAAGCTCTGGTTTCCTATATGCCACATGGATCTACATTAGAAAACATTGTTGCAGCCTAATACTTAGCCCCAGTTTGGGGTTGAGGTGATTTTAAAAAAAGCTCCTATGAAAAAAAGCTGGGAGTGTTTTTGGTGTTTGGTAAACTTAAAAAAAAGGGCTTATTTTGGAAGCTGCTGTGAGAATAAGCTGAAATCAAAGAAAAAAGCTGAAGCTGCAATTTGTAGCTTTGGAAAACTGGCTTTTTTTCAAAGCACACAGAACTACAGTGCTCCTTTAATGAAAAGACCCACTATCAGACTGCTTTTTTTTTCAAAAGCACTTTTACAAAAAGTTTACCAAACACTCTGCTGATTTATTTCACAGCCGCTTATTCTCACAGCAGCTTTTTTTTAAAGCACAGCAATACCAAACCAGCCCTTAATTCGGTATAAAAGTGAAAGATTTAAGACATTTCAGTACAATGCAAGCGGTAGACATGTCAAAATTAGATTTTATCTAATAATTATCAAGGAATATCATCTATAAATGACAAAACCAAATTATAGTCGTAAAAATGATTTCACCTTTGTTTATTTTTCTTTTAAAATAGGTCTCATATGTGTGTTAATTTCTTATAAACGGTTATTTGATTGAGTCTAAAATCTTCAGTCAAACATTTCAACCGTCAAAACCAAATCTTCAATCCATTCAAACTATATATTAAAGTTTATTATCAACTATAGGAAACAATGAATAAAACAAATCATATTCATACATGGAACCAATACACAGAGACATTACATAGACCATTTGATACCAAAAATCGAAATGCTCAGAGACTCAACACAGATACTATTCATAGATCCATGACTCAGAATTTCTCAGATCCTGGTTGAAATTAATTAAATAAAAAAAATCACGGAAGCGAATTTATACCTCTGATATTTAGAGCTCTGTGTCCCTTGATTCCTTCGCCGGCTTGGTTCATCTCCTAATCCATTGTTCGGCCTTCACAGGCTTGTCCGAGTACAACATGCAGATAGAAACAATACCCATTATACCTTGGTCAGATGGGTTTTAGAAAGAGGAGGGAGAGATTAGGGCTTAAGGGCAAAATGAAAACAATTTTTTTTTATGCAAGTGTAACATGCCAATTTGTAAATATAACGATCCGTATTTTCCAGTATTCAAAATCAAAGGTAGTTCATTGGTCCACATCATGCAAGATTTGCGCCGAAAAGGATAGTGTAGCATGAAAACTTAAATCAAAGATTGAACCTATACTCGAGTATCCACATTCATATCGAAAACCATAAATGAAAGATGTACAAAATATCAAACCATGACAAAGATTTAAAATTTATTCCTAACCCATCAAAGTTTTGAAATTTTTACAAACTGGGTTCAATTTACCACACAGAAAATTCAACAATACAGAAAAAGCCATACCTTTAATGCCAAGAAAACCTTCACTATATGAGAGGTCAAGTCAATCTGCAACACAATAAATTGATCACATCAAACGTAAGTAGATATAATCAAATCAAATTAGAGTATTGATGAAGAATAAATGACAAGAAGGGGGTTACTCTTAGGGGTGGGCACTTGAAACCGAAAACCGAAATCGAAACACGAACCAAATCGGACTACACCGAACGGTTTGATTTTGCGGTTTTGAAACGGTTGCGGTTTTGAAACCGAACCGCATTGTAGGAATCGGTTTGGTTTTGGTTTTGGCTTTTGAAAACCACACTGAAACCAAAACCGCATCTCAAATTATATGTCATGTTTTAATTAGTTGTTTGTTAGAGTCCATACATTTAGTATGTGCATGTCATAATAATGATTATTTTTTCCAAGTTATATCCCTCATCAAGCTTGGCATCTCAATGTTTCTTTACAGGAAAAGATGAAAATTTTGTCATAGTTATATCCCTCAGAACCCTAATTCAAGTTCAGAATGATAGCCTATATAATATATTAATCAGAAATGCAAATGAAAACTCAAAAGAAACAATGAGCATCAAATAAGAGTAGTCATAGAAGGAGAGATACAAGACTGAATCTCTAATCAAGTAATAAGCTGCAGCACTTCATTTGGGTACTTTTTCCTACTCACAAAGTTTATCACATGTGCAAGAGTTTATCATCTGTGCAATTAGCTAGCTAGAGTAAAGAAAAGAATTCTCATGTGGGTGGTTAATTAATGTATGTGAGGAAAATGAGACCATGGTATATGTCGATAAGTATAAATTTTAAATTGTAGATTTTTTATCTAAAAAACCAAACCGAAACCGTTTGAAACCGCACCAAACCGAA